AAAAGTTCTTCGTCACAAGTTCGCAACATAGAAAGCAGTGGAGAACAAAGAGTGAACATAAAGCGAAGCTTATCAAGTCAAAACAATAAAGTGAAAACCGTTAATAAAAAAAGCTTACAGGCATGTAAGGCTATGGCACAAAGTCATTGACTTGAGAAGGTAACAGCGGCTCCGGTGGGGTAATGGATAGCGCAATCGCCTGATCAGCGGGAGATGCGGGTCCGAGTACCGCCTAGGGTCTTTTGTGCTTTTGCCCATAACTCGACATACTTGTGATAACTTTCAAAGTGAAAACTATGGAATGTAGTCCTTCACACTACAACTAGAAATGGACAATGAGTCTAAAGCAATCCATTGACAGCCCATGACTGACAATACACATCACACAAGAGCTCCAGCCAATTCACTAGGGATCAAAACTTGGAAAAAACGAGTGACATCCGCAGTCAAATTCCATCTCCACCTACCCGATTGTTGTGAGCTGATGAGGTCAGAACCAAGATATTATGTGTATAAGAGTTTCCATCGAGGAAAAATAACCTGCCCTGCTAAGTAACTGAGACTAGCGGCGATAGTTTTTAATTTTTGAGGCGGAAAACAATTTCACCTTTCAAAAAAGCATCGCCCTTGAAAAAGCAACGATCTGTCCTATGAAAACCACTGCGGGACAGAACTATAGACAACGAACTTAGATATTCGATTAGGGACTGAGAACGCATATTAGAAGGTGCTCGAGTGGTTGAAAAGCATAGGACAGTGACAATATCTCCACCTCAGAGAATCCGGATGTAGGAGAAGCGTTTTGCTGACATTCGGTTTCAGCTAGCTTTGAAAGAGAAGAAGGAAGAGAAGAGGAGGAGGCTTCACGTTTCACAAATGTCCTGAAAGACCGAGAGGCTTCAAAAAACTCCAAGCTGAGAGACTATAAAAGATCCCAAAGGAAGAAAGAAGAAACGAGTGGGAGGTTTTACGGTCGGCAGATGTCCTGAGTGAACGAGAGATCCCAAAAACGAGAAAACTCAAAAGGGGTGTACTCTCAAAATAAGATTTACAGAGGTCAGAGACAATCACAGACAATTCCTCCTCCATCTCCATAGGAGAACATAGAATTATTAAGATCTTTGTGTGAGCTCCTGCAATCAACCAACAATTGTAGTGGTTCTTACTTTGAACAATATGAGGAAAACT